AAGTATTGCCACGTCGCTTGAGGGCAGCGACGTAGCCAGAGGTGGGGCCCGGCCACAACAATAAAACCCTAATTTCATTTTTCTGTAGGCAATTTCCACTTTCAGAAGACATCGAAGAAGAAGAGTTCTTTCTTCAAACTAAAAACAATCGTTGAAGAGGTTGTTTTTTTTTAAATTTTAGAAGATCAAGAACATAATTTTTTATACAAAAGGCATATAAGATACTTCACATCTTCAAATTCCCTATGGAAATCTAATCCAGCTTCCAAAATCGAAACGCTTCCATTTCGATTGAATGTGGTTTCGATCACAGTTTTCATCGATTGTAAAGGCATTCTTTGTAAAGAAAATTCAATTTGTGGCAAGCAATCCACCAGAAACGACCGAAGTTATTGTATACCCCAGACCGGCACTCCTTTGAATTATTTGCTCGAACGTCTAAAAGAAAGTCTAAAAAATAGGCCTTAGACTATCGTTATAAGCGATTTCGATGATATTTCGCATTCCTAATATACGCTGAACTTGTACAGCCATTCCAAAGGGAATTTTCAAAATCTCCTCGCCTTGATCTCGATCTTTTCACATCACTCCCCCCGCCTAAGCTAGTTTTTCCCCTTGACTAAACATGTGTTTTAACTTTGATCAGCTGGCAAGGACTTGACTTGGATTTCTAGGCCTCGTTTAAGATTTGCTCTGATCCAAATCTGTCTTTCGTTTGAAAACTAATACCAAAATACACGCACATACAAGCAAACATATATCTCCTATCTAGTCTGATATATCTTCACGGTTTTAAATGCTAAGCTATTTTGAGCAGGTTTACTTGTGTGCTTAGCAGTGTGACTAAGGAGAAGTGGATAGATAGCCGATTTTTGGTGTCGCCAACTTTTTGTTATTTTTGTCATTCGGATTCCGTTTATCTTGGATTATATCGAAATGCACAAGTTAAATAGATTTCGCGTGGGTTTGACAAGCAGATTGACAAATGTCTGCCTGTTCCCCTTGTCCCTGTTTAAGCAGGTAGCTTAACTTTGCCTGGCTGCTACGTGTGTGTACCCCTTGTGTGTGTGTGTGCGTATTGGAGGGGGGAGCTTAATGAGATCCGGTTGGGATTTAATAAATGTTTGGTTATGATTTACGTGGAATGCAACTAGTCAACGACGATTTAATTAAAATCTTTAAATAAATCTAGAGAAGAGTGCGATTAAAGTGGTGGTAAGTGCGATAGAGCGGGAGACTATAATGATTAAGGTGGAAAAGGGGAATTTGTTGTGTTTTGGGAATTATAAAATGGACAAGGACTAACATGTGGGATTTGAAAGATATTCGAAAATATTTTGAAGGAATTAGAAATTTTGAGACGAAATAAATAATCTAGAAAAAGGAGAATCAAAATTATTTCTATGATTTTAACATATATTGGTGTATGATGATGAATAAATTAAATATATTTTTTTATATTTCAATGTAATGTACATATACCAGATTTTTTCAATGGTGTAATATTAGGTTCGGGAAAAAGAAATCCACTAGGCCGGTCGTCGAAAATGTCGATAAAAACGGGAAAATGATCGAAGTTGACTGGTATGTTAGCAGTCGTAACATCACCCAGGACCTAAAATCTGTTATAAACAATTTAGACAACGCTCGATTCAAAAAGAATCTCGGTGTTTGGGAGCCACACCAATTAACAAAAAAAAAAAAACAAAAGATAGATCAAATTTTCATCTGCGATGCCTTGGCCAAACGGAATGAGATGGACCCATTTCTTAAATGGATAGTGACTGGAGATGAGAAATGGATCACCTGCGATAAGCCTGTGCGAAAACGATCGTGGTCAAAGAGCGGTGAAGCACCTCAAACGGCGGCCAAACCAGGACTAACGGCCAGGAAGATTCTGCTATGCATTTGGTGGAACTGGAAGGGTATTATTATGAGTTGCTTGAATATGGCCAAACGCTGAATTCTGGTTTTTACTGTCAACAACTGAACCGTTTGAAGGTAGCAATTGAACAGAAACGGAGAGGTGTCGTGTTTCACCAGGACAACGCTAGGCCACACACATCTACAATGACTTCGGGAGCTTGTTTGGGAAGTTTTAATACATCCGCCATGCAGTCCGGACTTGCCACCAAGTGATTATCATATTTTTCTTGCATTGCAATAATTCTTTAATAATAAAAAAATTGGTATCTAGGGAGGATTGTGAAAATCGACTACTAGAGTTTTTTTTTTTTTGCAAATAGAGAGCAGGACTTCTATGAGAGAGGCATTATTAAGCTACCTTTAAAATGGCAAGAAATCATACAACAAAACGGTGTATATTTGGTCCAAATCGGGCATTTAGAGAAGATTGTCACCGATTGTATGATGAGGTCCTCGAAACATTCTCTTAGTGTAAATAATTTTTGTGGTGTTCTGAGCCTAAAAGAGCTGTATGGGGTTTTCTCTAGTTTGTTATCCTGTCTGAGATTTTCTACAGATGAAATGCCGGTGTTGGATCTTATATACTAAGAAGACCAATGTTAAGTATCCAGAAGGGATAAGTCATATGGGAGATTTTTACACGTGTAAAGTATTCTACAGACGGAAGACGTCAATTGATAAAAGACCTATGCCAAGGGTTCTATAAAACATAAGTTTATATCGAATATATGAATCATTAAAAAAATAGACACTCTACATACATTTCTATAGCCCTTTCAGACCCACTAAAGTTCTGACCTTTCAATTGAAAACGTTTATTACGAATATCGCGTGCAGCGACCAATCGACAATATATTTAATTGATTAGCAATTTTTATGAAAAAAAATATATATATATATATTTAAAAATTCCATCAAATCGGAAGCCGTGTAATATATTTCCGAAAATATGGTGTTATCTTGATGGCTCATATTTTATCGATTGATTTATTTTTTATAGTAATAAATTGAATAGGACTTCGAAGCAGTTTTCGCAATTTTACAAGTTGTTGGGCATGTCGGAATATTAGATACCCTAACGATGTTGTATAAATAAATTAAATTTTAAAATGAGTGCTTTCAAATAACTTTGAAATAATTTTCGTATTTGAGAATATTTGCGTTAAGTTATAAGAACAATTTTACAAAAATGTTCTAAATGGCAATATTGAAAAGGACCTAATTTTTGATTTTTTGGTACTATGCTCAAAAATTATGAAATATGTTGTTCACGAAATATAGAAAAAAATCAGTAATTGGTGTGTAGCTATCCGAAATATTTTCCCGAACTATGTATATAAACATAGAATATATACAAATAATTTTCTCTGAAATGAAAAACACCCATGGGACTATAAATAGTACCATTATTTAATACAAAACTAATTTAATATACATACATTCAAACTTATATTTTATAATTCTTATTATTTCTCATCAAACAATCAATTAAAAATGCCCTTTTGCGCGTTTGAAAACAATTTTCTGTGCTAGCAAAAATTATTTATAAATATTTCTTTTGAACTTTTCAAAGACCCCGTAATTAAAATGGAAAACTTTCAATTGCCATGTATTTAAGTAAAATATTTATAACAAGACGTCAATAATAAAACAAAAAAAGACAAACAACAAACGCTATGAAATGTGAGAATACTCTATGACTAATTAAATCAATTAAAAACGAGCGTAACAAATAATTAAAAACTTACCCCTCGGTTCTCTATGACTATGAATAACAGTCAATTATTTGCACATTTTCAAATTCCCAAAAAAAGTGAAACAAGAACAAATCAAATGCCAATGGTCTAGAAATAGAAAAAGAAGAACAAGCAAATTAAATTAGGGGGAAAATAATAATAATGAAAAACATTTTTGTAGGGAAAATTAAAGCTACCAAATGTTGAGTTCATAATTTATAATAAAATCAGTTGAGATTTTGTTTCTACTTTTCCTGCAAAAATAATCAATTTTTCATGATTTCATTGAAAATATGAAAAACAAAATCGCCAACAACTTTTGTTAAAATGTTGAGAAAAACAACAACAATAAGCAGCAAAAAAAATTCTTCAACCCTGTTTAGATTAATGCTAATAGATATTTTGACGGCGAATCAACGAAATGTGTACAAAATAAACATTAAACCAATATCCCAAATATTATAAACAACCTCCTTTTTTCTACAAAAACACACAAACGTACAACGTAAAGCATATATATGTGTTTTGTTGTTGTTTACTACACTGCAGAGAGTAAGCACACCCCAAACAAAATTCAAAATGAATTCCCCCCATAAAGCAATGCTGGGAGACTCTCATACTCTCCAAAGAGTTTCCCCAATACCATTGCTGTTGTATGTACTCACATGCGCATAACAACACAAAAGAGCTCTCCACCGTTACTCACCCCACGTATGGCTACTCTCCCTCTCACAACATGTTTTGTTGCGATTTAATCAAACAAATATTGTGTGGATTCTCTGGGGGCCCAAGCAAAACAAAACACAACACACCATAGTAGAGTAGAGCAGAGAGACTGCCAATGAACCAATGAGATGGCCAACAACAACGACGACAGCAATGTACTCTTGTTGAATAAACAAACAATGTTAAGGGCGGAGTTAGTAGTAGTAGCATATGTTTGTTTCATTGTGGGACAGGCACACACAAACACACACACTCACTCACTGAGCACTAACAGTCGGCTACCTAGGATTGTTGTTTGTTGAATGGCTTAGTTATTCTCTTGTTGTAATTGTTGTTGTTTGCCTGTGCTGTGTTGTTGCTTGTGTGTGGATTGTATCGGCGATAAGTAGTTAAGGCCTTTGTTGTGTAGACTTATCATGCTGAGAGGGATCGAGAGCCGTTGGGGTATAAATAGCCCGCTCAGAGCGTAGAATAGTCAGTACTCAGCTACATCTCGTCTTATAAACATCTCTTGGTGTTCTAAAACAAGAAAACAAACATTTGAGTTTTATTAGAAACAAAAAAATTGAAATACATTTTTAAAAACAAAAATTCAAAAAAGACAATCAATCAAAAAGAACAACAAATTTTATTTAACTAAAAAAACAATGGTTAAAAGTGTTAACGAAATGGAATTCAAAAGCAACTTCTCAATTGATGCCATCTTGGCTAGAAATACCAACAACAACCACAATTCTCAACAACAACAAATGACAATGCCACCACAAACCACCACGGTTATGATCAAACAAGAACCCGAATGCCTCAAGGAACCAACTTTATATGTCACCGATGATGGTGAACTATCGGAGGAATTTGATAACCCCAGCCGTACCAGTACCCCCATGAGCAGTGCTGCCGATTCTCTCTCTTCCGGTGAAGACAAACTGGAAGATGATCAGAGTTGTGACAGCGATGAGGATAAGGCTGGCAAATCGGAGGGCGAGGGTGATGATAAGAAACCCCCCTACAGCTACAATGCCTTGATCATGATGGCCATTCAAAATAGTCCCGAACAACGCTTGACTTTGAACGGTATCTATCAGTATTTGATCAATCGCTTCCCCTACTTCAAGATGAACAAACGCGGCTGGCAAAACTCGATTCGCCACAATCTGAGCTTGAACAAATGCTTTGCCAAGATTCCCCGCAGCTACGATGATCCCGGCAAGGGCAACTACTGGATCTTGGACCCCAGCGCCGAGGAAGTGTTCATTGGTGAGACCACTGGTAAATTGCGCCGCAAAAATCCCGGTGCCAATAGTGCCCGTTTGGCTGCCTACCGCCAGGCCATCTTCTCGCCCATGATGGGTCGTTATGCTGCTGCTGCCGCCGCCGCTGCTGTTCCCTTCCCTGGCGCCATGCAATTTGCTCCTGGTTATGCCAATGCTGCTGCTGCCGCTGCCCTATATCAACGTATGAATCCCTACGGTGCTGCCTATCCACCCACCGCTGTACCCCAACAAGCTCCACCACAAATGCCTGTCTACAATCAAATGCCTCCAGCCAATGCCATGTATCCATCCGGTCCCATGCCCATGTCTGCTGAACTATTCCATCGTATGCAAATGTTGGGCAAGTTCCAAGCTAGCTAAATTGCCTGAGCATTATTGGGGAAGCATTTGTGGGAAAATGTAACGAAACAAAACGCTAAGCGTTGTTGATTTACTCTTCACACCACACTCTGTTCGTTCCAAAAAGCAAATTGGTCTTGAAATTTGTCGCAGGACGAAGACGACAACAACAAGGACAGCAATTTGGGGACTCTGGGATAGTAAGAATAAGGAAAACATCCTCCCTTACACCATACCACCAAAAGGGGCAGGATATTTATTCACTATATTCTGGTGTCCATTGCATATTATGGGGCAATAGCAGCGTAGTTAGAATGCTGGAACAGCATTTACGGCACACTTAACTCTCTCAAAGGAACAAAAGGCGGGCCTTCTTTGAAAAGAAAACAAAAAAACACACAACTCAAACGAACCTTAATGGGTTAACAAATATTTATGTACTTTTTTAATTTTCATTTTTTTATAATTTTGTATAATTTTTTTTAAAAATTTTAACTTTTTTAGTTTGTTATTAGTTTTAAGAAAAACAAAAAACCTTTTAAAAATAAAAACTATATTTCAAAAAACAAAAATTTCAATTGGCTTTTTATTTTATAATTTTAAAAAATTACAGCTATTAAAAATTACAAAAAAATATTTTTTTGAATACAAAAATCACATAAAAAATATTAAAAAAAAAATAAATAAAATATTGAAAAAAAATTTAAAAAAAAATATTTTAAAAATTAAAAAAAAATAATTATTTATTTGAATTGAATAAAATAAAAATATTTAAATTAATATTTCAATCATTAATAAAATATAAAAAAAAAATATTTTAATGAAAATAATTTAAAACTTTTGAAAAAAATAGTTCGAAAATATATTTTTTTATAAATAAATTATATATAATTTTTTTAAGAAGAATTAAAAAAAATGTATAAAACAAATATTTTTTAATAAAAAAATATTAAAAAAATCAATTAATAAATAACCACAATTAATTTGAAAATAAAAAAAATATTTTTACAAAAAGAATTGTTTTTTAGAAAAATTAAAAAAAAAAATGTATAAAAAATCAATTAATAAATAACAGAAAAGTATTTTTTGAATAAAAAAATAATTTTAAAAATCTAAATTTTTATTTTTCCCATAAAAATGAAAAATTTTCCCCAGCTCTGAAATCTGATCAAAAAGAAAAACAATTTATTAAAAGGTTACAACAAAAACAACTTTAGTCATTTGTTGTTGTAAAAATTTTCGTTTTAGTTTTCTTTTTATTGTTATTGTACAACACTAATAACACTGGAAAATGTCTTAATTATGGTGCACACGTTTGAGCGGCAACTTCTTTGAACCTTTTTTTCTTTCATTCTTTGGGATCGACACTCAATTTAAGGCAACAACAACAAAAAACACCAAAGAAAGAACCAACAACAAAAAAACATGTGTTGTGACAAATGTGTATTTCAACAATGGTCAAAATTGTTGTTGGTTTGAAATAAAAAAAAAATATTTTTCGTTTTTCTAAAACACCATCATCAAAACGGGCCCTTGCACAGCAGTTAGCCATTGTACAGCTCTGTTGGAGCCAACAAATTTCCAAAATTGAGACATCTATTGCACACTACACTCTAGTCAGTGAGTGAACGAGCGAGCGATGTGTCTTTTCATTTGGACAAATGAATTTGTTTCCATTTCTCATTTGTGTGTCATGCCGCCGCAGCACAGCAGTAAGGCTGACTAGCTCTGATCCTGTCAGCTATGAAAATGCCTATGAGCTGCAGTGTTGTGCCGAGCCACAGGTATCATTTGTAAGGAGCTATACAATTTTTCATTTTTAGGCTCTTAACTACTGCTGGTTCTATGTTGGCTTGCTTGCTGACTTGAGAAAATCGATGACAAAAATATCTTATTTTTAAAAGAAATTACACGCATTTTTATTTTGTTTTCTTTGATTTTGTGCATCACAAAGCAATACTCTCAACATGAGAAATATTAGAAAGCAAAACTGAACCTGAAGAAAGCCGATGATATCGACTAGTTTTAATCAAACAGTTGAGTTAACAGTGGGAAACTTTGTGTTTGGGAAAATTCAAAAACAGAGCAGATTTTTTTTGTTTTGTTTACATCTCTGCGGCATAAGAAAAGAAAAATAGTTTTTCGGTAGGAGAAAACTATTATTAGTAGAAATAATTAGTCTCCGACTGTAAGGAGCGTGCACAAAACTTGACTTATTTTTCGGAGACTGGTGTTCTTTCATTGTTTTAGGGGGAATGGCAGGGAATATTTAAAATTTGTTTACAAATCCGAAAGAATACGTTGGATTTGCACACTGTAGTAGCAGTTTTCTTTTGTTTTTATAGATTCACAACTTCTATGCATTTCATAAATTTATCATCCGTCTATCTGAAGATTTTTTGCCTTTAAGGGAACCCCCCCATTCTCGATTTTATTTTTTCAAGATTTTCAATGGGCTGGTAAATCAATACCAATGCTTGTTAAGGTTTGTAACTTTGCACATATATAATTGAAGATTTAAAAGAGAAGAAAAATAATTTACAAAAAAATTTTGTTATTGTTTTGTTGTTGTTTTTTGTAATTAAAGAAAAGTCCTTATTTTTGATGGCGGGCATGATAACTCCTCACTGGAACATCGGAATCCGAAAATTCCAACGGTGTTAGAAAGAGTACATGACTGGCTCTCGTATGAACTATTGACATCGCTCGAAAATTAAAAAAATGGTGGACCTTTGAAAAAATATTTTTGGAAAATCGCCGATTTTTTGATCAAAAACCAAGTTAAAAAATAAGGAAGATCTTCACCGATTGGCTTTATCCTAGTTCATACGAGAGCTATGCACTCCCAGAGAAACGTTGCAAAATTTGGAACCGATTGGATTATTAGTTTTTGAGTTATCGTGCCCGCCATTCGCAAAAAAATGTTTAGAGAAAAACGCGTTTAAAGTTTGAGAAGCCCTTCAGCCGTCACTTGATGCGGACACAATAAATCGGATATATCTTCAAGAGTTCGTGAGATTTTCACTTGAAATTTTGTAGAGACATTCTTAATCAGTGTAGATTCGAATTATATCAACAAAAATTTTGACCCCGAGAATGGGGGGGGGGGTCCCCTTAAATGTTATACATACATATCACATTTTACGATTTTAGATAGTGTCCTCTAAGAGAGACACTATTGAAGAGATCGATATTCGTATGTTTTCAACGTCCTTGTCTGAAATATTATAATACAAAAATTTCACTATGAGATTCCATTTATTAACATTTATTCGTGAGAGGCAGAACCGGATCATTACATTTTTAAAATGATTTTTTAAAAGAACCCCGATTTTTGTACACAAAAAGGCATTTTTTCACATACCATGAACTCCTTTTTGTTGAAAAGGGTATAAAATCGAATAAGTTGAAAGCTAATATGAAAAAATAAAAAAAATAGGTAATTGGGAAGGATAGAATAATATATAAGCTAAATCGAGGCCCATGTAAACTAATTATATAGATTCGGTTAAAAATCGATTGATATAGTGGCTACATTAAAATAAAGAACGGCGTAATGTTCGGCAAATGTCCTGGCAAATCCTCCATTGACCACATTTTCACTCTGCGCCAGAGCCTGGAAAAGACGAAAAACACATCGTCACATTCCACCTATTCGTCGACTATAAAGTCGCATTCGACAGCCCAATCCGTTCAGAGGTGTTTAAAGTCATGTATTCGTTTGGATTTCTTGCAAATACGGCTAAGAAGGATAACTTTTACTCGGTGACCTACAATGCCGAACGAGGATTCCGACAAACTGTCACCTTGTCGGAATCCTCGTTCGGTTAATGTTATCCTTCTTAGCCGTATTAATTTTGCAAGACGACATGCAAATTTGAACAGAAATGGCACTTTGTACAGCAAATAGCACATGTTACTCGCCTAAGCCGACAACATCGACATAATGAGTCGAACATTGCGAGCGGTAACAGCCACCTTTGAACGAATTGAGAATATTGAGAATGATATAAATCCGCAAGGCGTCCAGTAGACTCGGAACTTGAAAACAACAGCTTCGATGTAGTGAACTATTTTATACACCTCGGTACCGCCATCAGCTTTGGAATTCGGAGGAGAATAGTGTTGGCCAACATATGCTACTATGGTCTGAGTAAGCAACTCAAGAGAAGGCCACCCCTCGCCAGACCAAACTCACACGCTCCGAGACGCTGATATTATCCGTGCTGTTGTATGTATCTGAAGCATGGGTACTTGCGCAAGCAGATGTGGCAGCTCTTGGAGTGTTTGAGAGAAAAATTCTCCGGAAGATCTATGGGCCGATCTGCGTCGACGGCGAATATCGACGTCCAAAAGCTATACCATCTATTCCCTGACATCAACGTAGTCAACGTAGTATCGAGCTGCGACTACGTTGGTTAGGCCATGTTGTGAGACTGGAAGATGATGCCCAAGCTCAAAAGGCATATAAAAGCGAACCATGTGAACATCTCGGGTAATGGTCTTACAAATTGGATGAGATGCGCACAAATTTTTTTTTAGCTCGGCTTATGGAACAACCATTCTGTCATAAGCCAGCTAAGTGAGTAAGTTACACAGATGGTTCTTGAAATTTTTCTTTAAAATTCAGCCTTCTATCTTAGATGGTCCTTGAAACATATATTTAAAAATTTGAAATCGCTAACAAATCAATTTCAGATTATCGTTTAAATATATTCTTTAAAAATCCACGCTCTTAATCAGATAGTCCTTGAAAAATATTCTGTAAAAATCTACTCTTTTATCTCAGATGGTCTTTAAAAAGTTTTCCATAAAATAAAATATACTCTTCTTAGACTGTCCTGGGAAAAATATTTAAAAAAAAATCCAATCTCTTTTAACTCCAATGGACCTTGAAAATATTTTTTAATAATCCATGCTTATAGCTCAAATAGTCCTCCAAAAATATTCTTTAAAAATACAGAGGATCCTTGAAAAATAGAATTCACGCTTATATCTGATGTCATGTTCGGTCGGACAGC